AGACAGAGATTCTTATACAGGATATAAAAGTAAGAACCAAGTATATGCTGTTTACAAGAGGTATATTTTACATACAAATACACTAACAGACTGGAAGTAAACACCTGAAAAAAAGACATACCGTGCGCCGGCCCGGTGGCGCACTGCTATAGTGCGCCGCTTGGGAAGCGCGGCGGCACTCCCGCCGAGGGTTCGGATCCCACATACAGACCGGTTCCCGCTCACTGGCTGAGCGAGGCGCGGGAGCAACACCGAGGGTTGCGATCCCATTCCTGGTCCCGGTCTGGTATGGGGGCAACACTGAGGGTTGCGATCCGTTGCCGGACACGGAAAAAGACAAAAAGGAAAAAAAAAAAAAAGACATACCGTGCAAATATGAGTAACAGATGAAAGCTCCAGTAGCTATGCTAATATCATTAATAGACTTCAAGACAAGAGGGAACACTTCAAATAAGAGTCAATGCATTAGGAAGGTACAACAATTTTAAATGTTTGCCTAATAAAACTTGGCTAATAAAATAAAATGTTTGCCTGATAACTATTTGCCTAATAAAATAGTCTAAATATGTGAACCAAAATCTATAACAGAACAATCGGTATAAGCAGACAAACCCACAAACATGGACAGAGACTTTATCACACTTCTCTCAGTAGTTGAAAAAATAACCAGAACCACTCCCCCCAAAAGATATGTATATATATAGAGAGAGATTGTGAATGACACTATCAACTACTTTATCCTGACATTTATAAAACACTAAACGAAACAACAGCAAAACACCCATTCTTTTCAAGTGCATACGGAGCATTCACCAATATATACATAGTTAACACTCAATATTTGCACTCTGAGATCCCTAATGAGGTCTGTTTCAGTAAAAAATTAAATAATGGAAACCACAGTGGGAGGAGGGAATTGCCTGCAAAGTGAAATGAGAGAACTTTGGTTGCAAATGGTAAAGTTCTACGTGGTGATTGAGGTGTTGGCTTGTTAATATCTGCATTTGTCAAAACTCATCCAATTATACGTTTAAAATCAGTGATTTTAACTGTATATACATTATAATGTAATAAAAAATGCTTCCCCTAAAACCCAATAATGAGCTCCTTCTAATGTCAATAATTAAAGGAATAAATGCCTACAGTTTGTGTACAAAAATATCATTACCTTTTAATTTGTATTTAACATCTAATTCATATATACATAGCTCCCATTCTCAATAATTGTTTTATAGGTTTTTAAAAATAATATTGGGTAGCCACTACTCTTAACTTTCTGTTAGTGCACCTTGGTATAAATAAATTAGAATAGTCATTATTTATTCTTAATAATTTCAAGGGGACTGGCCCGGTGGCGCACTGCTACAGTGCGCCGCTTGGGAAGCGCGGCGGCGCTCCCGCCCGAGGGTTCGGATCCCACGTACGGACCGGTTCCAGCTCACTGGCTGAGCGAGGCACGGGCGCAACACCGAGGGTTGCAGTCCCGTTGCCGGTCCCCGGTCTGGTGCGGGGGCAACACCGAGGGTTGCGATCCATTGCCGGACACGGAAAAAGACAAAAAAAATAATAATTTCAAGGAAGTTGTACTGATCATAGAGTATTGCATTTTTACTTGAAATTTCCAGAAGAGGCCAGGGGGGTATAATCTAGTGGTTCTCAAACTTAGTATGCATCAGAATTACCTGGAAGGCATGTTAAATACAGATTGCTGGGCCCCACCTTCAGAGTTACTGATTCAGTAATTCTGGGGTAGGTCTGTAGGATTTGCATTTCTAGCAAGTTCCCTTATACGGTGATGATATTGGCACGAGACTACACTTTGAGAACCACTGCTATGAAGACTAGTGGAGAAGGAGGGGGGAAGTGATCATAAATTTTTCATATGAGTTCAAGTTCAAGAAAGCAATTTGAATCTATACATAGAGGGCAGCACACAAATAGTTTTTGAGTCCAAAGATCCCCAGAGTCACCCACCTTATTTGAGGGGGAAGGCTATCCCAAAATATATTGTTGATTCATTAGTATTTAATTCTTTCCCAAGAATGGTACAATGGAATAGACTTCTTTGTTCAAGAAATAAATTGAATCATAACATAAATCTCAATTTTTTTTAATACTCTGGATGAAAACTCCATTAGTGTAAGAACCATGTGTTCCTCTTTGCTTGGTATACATCCAGAGTCAGCAATCCTAAATATCCTAATGGCGAATTACTCTAGGCACCGATGGGCTTCAGCTTCTCCTTACCTGGATGTCGGTTTTTTTTTTCACACAAACCCAATGTTTCCTTTAAATTCAAGGTTAAATTCCTTTCCACTCATAAAAGTCTTCATTAGAGAACCATAGATAAAAATGGATCTTTCCTTCTTTAATTTTTTTGTAGACAGCACCTTTGTTGATAGCATGCAATATGACATTTGATGATATATCATTTTGTTATCTTTTTGCTTTCTAATAAGTATGTATAATTTCACATCTGACTAAGTTGTGAACACATCAAAAAAAAGTAGATGGGTTTTTTTATGTTGACTGCCTTCCAAATTAAGCAATCAATAACTGCTTGAAGCAGCTTGTGGAGGGGAAAGAGCGTGGGCTTTGACATCAGATGTGGCTGAATGATGAATGTTACCTACCTCTCTGAACATTGATTTATATATATATAAATGAGAAGACTTTATTGCCCTGGACCCTTTCACTGAGGCTTGGCAGGGTGGTGGGATTTACTCATAAACATACATCTAGGAAGAGGCCAACCTCTAGACATGGATTTCTTGGGATTCCAAATCCCAACATCTTTCTGTATAACACGAAAGGTAAATTAGATAGGCAAACTTAAACTCAAGCAATTAGGAATAGTATTCTCCTCTATGATAATTGCCTGACTTTATGGTCATAAACATGTAGGGATGTGGGCCCAGGAAGCACATGTAATTGGAATTTAACTATGACATTTGGCAGGCAAGGGTAATAACAAGGT